TTTTTTTTTTTTTTCGAGATTCCAATGATTACTCGTGAAATATATAAATAAAGGATTGCCTTCTTTATTGTGCTAGAAACTTTTTCCCATTTCATTTCTCTGCAAAACTTTTACGTTTCAATTGTCAGTAGTTCTAGTATTGATACAAACTTTCACTCAGAAGTTCGGAGTATCCCTTATTTTAAAAACGAAATAAATTTTGTTAGAAATTTAGAGAAATAATACTGTTGTAATTGTAAGTTTCAATTTTAAATATAATCAATTACGAATTAAATACTTAAGTAGCAAATATCGAATATCATAAATAAAATATTCAGTTACTAAAGAATAGATTAAAGCATTTACTAAAGACTTAAATATTAGAGAATACTTTAGTTAAAATCAGAATTAAATATTTGAATTTCTTTGAAATCCCAAGGTTCCAAAGTTTCAAGCACATTGTAACTTATTGGCATGTCGACTGCTAAATATTTATATTTAATATTAATAATATTTAATATTAAAAATTCTACGAAAATTAAATCAATTTTCGGTAATTTGGGAAAAAATATTATGTACTTTCACAGAGAATGTAAAACAAACACGATAAAATTTATTGTGATGAAAGAAGATGCTCTTACACAAGATAATGATACAACCAGATATTGTGTAACATCATAGTAATATCACAACTGATAAATATTAATATACATATACGGTTCGTCGTTGTAATCAATAAAAAAATTTCAATAAGTGTTATACAGATAACCGTTATAAAGATATGAATTAATAGTTAATAGGCCAGAAGCTTAAGTTATTGACAATAAAATAGACTGATGAATATATTTCGATAGATTTAAATAATTTTATGACTGTAATTTTGCAATTTTTACATTATTCAGAATTTTAAATAATTTCTTGCTTTGATATAAATTTATCAATCATTTAAAATGATGAACAGTATCATTAAAATGGTTATAAATACTTTTTTTATTAAAAAGTAGCGCAACATATACAATTATAATAAATCAATTCGAACGTGAATAATTCATAAAAATGATATATTGATTGTAAATTTGTCTGTGAATATTGTATCTTACAAGTAGTAGTGACGAATGAAACTATCGTTCACTTTGGATAAACAAATTAGGATCAGACTGAGCAAATAATTCTTTTGTCTTCAACACTTTAGAATTTCGTAATAAAATAATATATTTAATATATTTCAAATTTGCAAATTATAGCTGATAAGGAAATCGAATTAAAAAGAAAACATGCTTCAAGAACTTCACAAACTTTACATATGAAACTCTACAAACACGATTAAAATGCTATCTCTGGGAAACTTATCCAATTATCCAACAATTTTTTCCTTCTGACAAATTGTACATAATACATATTGTTCAGGATGAAAATGATAAAAATAATTAATTTCGATAAACTATCGTACGTAAGTTTCAATCACGTGTGATATTTGAGCCTAAAATTATTAAACGTTATTACACATTAATTTAAATCGTAAAACATGATAACCTTAAACGAAACAATTATATAAATAACAACATCAAATAATGAAATTTTTATATTTAGTAAAAGTTTGGTGAACTTGGTAACCTTCGCAGTAAAATTGAATTTTTGACAACAGACTTATCGATCTGGCTTTAAAAACAGTAGCTTTGATAAATCATTCGCCAGAGCAAGGAAAACGAAGTTTATAACGAATAATAAAAAGAAAAATAAAAGTCAAGAACAAATGCTTATTAGAAAATTAAAAAGAAAAGAAATTATTACAGTCACGTTTCTAGCTACAAAATTTGCAATCGACGAAGAAAAAACAAAAACAGAAAAAAATATGACGTCACATGAAAAAGATATTGAACTTTTATATTTGCTTGTACTTTATTTTCAAAAATAATAATATATTTGAAATCGCGCGAGAAATTCTATTTTATTTCCAGTTCCAATTTAAAACAACGTGGACATTTATCCAATCAAGCAGCGAATAAATAGCTCGCACAATAATAGCTCTGGGAACTATTGCGATTGGACGCGATTTTCAGCAGCAGAGCTACTGCAGGTCACAATAAACCCGAATAAATATTAAAGAAAAATAGTTCAATGCGTGTCAACACATCTTGAAATAAAAACAGAGAATTTATGATTTGTTTGCCACGTGTAATTATGCAATTGTATCGTTTCTTTTTTTTTATGAAATTTCAATAAAATATTCTTCGACATTCATAGTTAAAGGCTAAATAGATTTCATAATACGCAGTCGTAGAATTTCAGGTACGTCTGACCCGAAAGCTTCAAATATTTCAAATATAATAGAAAGAGAAGGATTTTTGACATTTTATGAATGTTAAGTAATTTGTTGATAATATCCAAGACAATGTATCGTTCATTTGTTTGAAAGAACATATAAGTAACTGAAAAATATGATCTTATGGAAATCTACAATTAGCATAGAATAAAATGAATAAAATTTATTTTGATTATAACTATTATAGTAATAAGATTGTATTCTGTACTTGCAGTAATTGTATGATGGATTTCGT